ATCTTCCCTCTAAATGGGTGGGTTTTATTATCGCGGACTTTATGACAAGTTCCGCCCGCTGTGAAACTTTTCTTGTTTCCATAGCAACAACAACTTCCTGTCAACAGCGTGAACTCGCCTTCAAAATAAAAGCATGCCAAATTACACTTAAGACATACAACTGCAACGAAAGTAACAAACACAATGCAATATCATTTTCAATGTCAAAGAACACAAATTGGGTTCACAGGTGTTGTTTTGTGTGGTAGAGGGTCGCTGTCATTGATGCGTTTTGCACCCTGGGCCGTTGTTTTGATATTCCGCTGAAGTATACGCTGTGACGTAATAACTCTTTTTTTTTCTTTTTTTCGAGGGAATTGGTGGGGGTCAGAGGGCTTAGGTATAAAGCTCACGGCTCGCCACTGCTCACATCTAAACGTGTAATAACTACGTTGGTCCACAACTTGGGACGTAGTATTTCTACAAAAACGCCTCTGAAATTGTAGGATCCCTACGTTTTTTTTCACCATTCATTTCCAATGGCTGGCGTCTATGTCACGTGATCTTCAACTTTCTGTCCGCAGAAATAAAAAAACATGGCCGATCTTCGTTTTATTCTCGGTAGAAAATGCCTATTTTAAGGTTAGTTTGGCCATTAAAATGCGTTTTGATGTCATTTGATGCGAGAAATATGAGTTGTTAATTCAGATTATGTGTGCAGTGGATGTACATGATCTTTAGTTTGCTAGTTATTACGAAGAATACTTCAGGAAATTCTGTAAATTATTGATGTGTGCTGATTCTCTCGCGTCCAGGAAGAAGTTTAAAGATTAAGAGACAAATGAGTCTCTGTAAGGGTTCAAATTGGTTACTTTAATTTATGCAGCGTGGTAGTGAAACAAACAAAGGGTAGTTGGGGAGACAAAAGCAGATGTTGTCCCGCAGCTGGTACCAAGGCAAGAGAGTGAGCACACGTTGATTCTCCCGCTTGCATCTCTCCTTCGCTCCTCCTCTCTGGGGGCTGTGACGTAGGGGGCCGCCTATGGGGGTTATTCCCTATCTTTATTCAAGAGCGTGGTATTTAAATTTGAGAGCATACTTTATTGATTTCACGTTCAGATTATGTATTTCTTTCCCTCAAACCCTGTCCTCACACTCAAATAGTGCCTGCTTGCACTTAGATTTGCTCTGCTTCTGCTCAAACTGTACGCTTGCACTCAGATATATTGCTGCTTACAGATTTCCTGTGTTCCAGCTTAAAACCTTCTCCTCGCACTCAGGCTGTTTCTGTGCGCTCGTGAAATGTCTGCTCTCAGATTTCTTCTGTGCGCGCTCGGATCTTTTGTGCAACAACCCTGTCAAAATCCCTCAACCAATAGGAGGCCAGTTGTCCTTGCGGGTGCGTTCGCTTTACTTATCAGAGCGTCCCGTAAGGGTGGTTACTCTTTGGTTTATAAACTACCGCCCTCCACGGCTTTATAACATAACATGTACTTCACTTGTTTAATTTACAACTTTTAGGGGGGGGAAGCACAGTTAGTATATATATACCAGCACCTTACATAATAGCTACGTTCTGTGGCGGACTGGGACTAAAAATCAGCCCGGGAATTGCTCGTGAATTTTCCAACCGGCCCCACTTCTGTACCGGACGTCCCATGTCCAACATGGAGCAAAGTCAAGGACCCCAAGTAAGTTTTTTATTTTAATGGTACTATTAACGTTAACGTTACTTCCTTCAAATGTATTTGGTAGTCATATTTGCGGCACATCTATGATAATAATTGGCTTGTACGTTACGTGAACACTGTTGCTAGGCAACTGACAACAAAATGTGTTTCTTATTTCATTGTTTAGGAAAAGGGAAATATACAGTTTTCTTCATGTCATTTTTAATGTAAGATCATATGTTGCCCTCACTACATTTGCACAAATGCACAATAAATTGTGTAACATGAACTGTACCTATATTTATTGCCTACTTTTCCTACAGAACCTGCTTAGACGTCATATCTTGGAGAGATTGCAAAGCAAGATGCAGTACGTGGTCAGCCGTACTGACGTCGACCTCGACTATCTTGATTTCATGTGCACCCATGAATTAATACTCATTGACACATTGGCAGAGCAGATAGAATTGCCAGTGAATATAGTAAATGCCCTTAGAGAACTGTGTAACCTGGTTAGACGTCAGGTGGAAAATGAGCAACATATTCCATCTGTTGAGATACAGGCAGTGCAAGGGGCAAGGGGGCGACCCAAATTCCTCATTCAACAGGACAAGTTACAGGCCTTGATAGACACCCAGTTGCCCATACCTTGCGTAGCCAAACTGCTGGGAGTCAGTGAAGTTACAGTATTCCGTCGAATGGCGGAATACTGTAACTTCACCCAGCAGAGAAACCAGGCTTCTTGCCACCTCTTCGATGGTGCTTCTCTGTAGGTGTAGGATTGTGCATTATTAATAGGGATGCTCCGATCAGGGTTTTTGTTTTTTTTACCGATCGCCGATCCGGTCATAGGGTGGGTGGGGGCTATGGGGATCTTCCATTTAAAGTGATGTTTAAAACTTAGTTAATGGGGCTCATTTTTATAATGCTTCAGTTTATATCGTAACGGATCGAAAAGTTCAGATTCATTTTTCCATACATGATGCACTTCCACAAACAACAACCAACATAATTATTACATTCAAATGAAGTACATTATTCAAGTTTACATTAACTTTGGATAATAACACGGGAGAAATAAACGGAAGCGCTCCTCTCTCTCTCTCTCCCCTGACAGCCCGTCAGTATCTCATGCAGCTCACTGATCCAGTAATGAGAGACCGTCACCCGACAGTTAAGAATAAACATATGTATACCTAGTTTATGTTGTTCCAGGGGTAGGCCTTTATAGAGACCACCGGTGACTTACTATCTCATTATAATGACTTACTATCTCATTATAATGACTTACTATCTCATTATAATGACTTAATATCTCATTATAATGACTTAGCTATCTCATTATAATGACTTACTATCTCATTATAATGACTTAGCTATCTCATTATAATGACTTAGCTATCTCATTATAATGACTTAGCTATCTCATTATAATGACTTAGTTATCTCATTATATTGACTTAGCTATCTCATTATAATGACTTACTATCATATAAGAGCAATTTTTAAATTAGCTTTCATCCCTTTACACCAAAGCAACAATAGCAAGTGTGTGGGACACACTTAGCTGAACTAATGGATACTATAATTGAAGACTACTTTAGACGCGGATTCACAAATAAGGACATTTTAGTGATTTTGGAGGAATCACACAATATTAAACTAAGCCTACGGACACTACAGAGGAAGCTACAAAAGAACAAGCTTTGGCGGAGAAAAAATAAGACAAATCGTTGTGATGAGGATGTGTTTCACCTTTGAACTAATGTCTGAGCACAGCCTGGCAAAGTCAGAGGATGTTTATGAAATTACGGACCTCTATGTAAAACTTCGACGAATGATTATTGATGAGCTGGGGGAATAGAGTATGGTTTTGTTCTTTGCGAAAAATCGCCACCTTAATAGGCCTACCAGTATACCAATATGCTCTGAAATATTCATTGTATCCTAAATGTAGGCCTGCAGGTACAGTAGATACACTTTGCAAAGTTTGCAGGCTCCTTCGAAGTTGCTCTTGTTACCAGTCCTCTGTCCAAGGGCTTGATTGTGACAGTGACTGCATGCATCAGTCAAAGTGTGCATGGTAACTCTATAGTCTGTGGTGCTGAATAGTACATTAATAGGTAATCTTCAACAGGGTGTTTTAGAAGATCATGCAATGTAGTGAGTATCAGTTTAATAATGTCCATATTATTCCCAATATGTAAATAATGTTATTTAATGTACTCTTTTGTATCAATGTATGCACCTTTTTTGGCACACAGCACACAGCTAAGTCATTATAATGAGATAGTAAGTCAATATAATGAGATAGGTAAGTCAATATAATGAGATATTAAGTCAATATAATGAGATAACTAAGTCAATATAATGAGATAGCTAAATCAATATAATGAGATAACTAAGTCAATATAATGAGATAACTAAGTCAATATAATGAGATAACTAAGTCAATATAATGAGATATTAAGTCATTATAATGAGATATTAAGTCATTATAATGAGATAGTAAGTCATTATAATGAGATAGTAAGTCATTATAATGAGATAGTAAGTCAATATAATGAGATAGCTAAGTCATTATAATGAGATAGTAAGTCATTATAATGAGATAGCTAAGTCATTATAATGACTTACAGGATTTTTAAATGTCTTTTCCTGTGGCGCAAACAGGCTTCCATAGCATACCCCCGGACCCCCTTAGAGGATGTGATGTTTGCCTTTTTGATGTATCTATGTCAATACGTTTCTGTTTTTGTAGTGTATTTGCCTTTTGTAGAGATTTTTCATTTTATTCTTTATATATTCTATAGGGGGGGCACCAGCTAAAACCTCGCCTAGGGCAGCAAATTGTCTAGAACCGGCCCTGCAGACACTCCACATAATTGGCATGCACCCCACTGGACTCTGTACAGATTGACAGATTGCAATAAACCGGAAACTGTCAAACATGTCTTAATAGACTGCCACAAATACGAGAATTAGAGGAGAGTGCTAGCTACTAAGTTAGCTAACGAAAAACTCAGCCTTACTGTGGAATCGGCTAGGGACATCAGAGGAAGTCTTTAAACCGCTGAAAAAAATCTTTAAAACAACTGGAATTATAGAAAGAATTTAGGTTTAATTTGTATCAAATGTTTTTGTTTTATTTATTTTTATTTAATTTGCATTTATTTATATTTTATTTTTCCTGCCAATCTACTGCTCCACACTCCAGTCCAGTAGGTGGCGGTAATGCACCCATGTGTTGGTTGCCAACCGCCAATAAACCCATAGAAGAAGAAGAAGAAGAAGAAGAAGATCCTGTACAGTAGATGGCAGTATGCACCTTAAAGGTTTCTGCCAAACCTTGAATATATCGAGAGAAGAAGAAGGAGCGGGCCTTTGTCCCGACATACAGCGTGTTTGCAGTGTTGCAGTCATCAGGACGTTTAGCTGCGAAAGGACTTCTACCCGGTACCGTCGGCTCCTCGCGTCAACATGGTGAAATTATCAGCAGAGTTAATTGAGCAGGCTGCTCAATATACCAACCCCGTGAGAGACAGAGAGCTGGATTTACGAGGTAAGCGAAACGATATCGCCACTGCATATCACCTCTTCATAGCTCATGTAGTTAGCCTACTCGTGCTTTACGCGGGACTCGCGCCGAACTCCATTCAAAACCTGATTAGTACCTGTTCCTTCCGATATGGATGCAACATTGTATTTGATACTTACTAAGCATGATAACATAGGCTGCTAACATAGCTTGCGGTGTCCTGCCGAGTTCTACCAGGTCAACTGTTTACCTCGCGCACAGCGGAAACTAAAACCAAACACTACAATTGTTTCTAAATAACTTTACTGTTCAAATCCCATATATGATGCTTTCTGATTTCCTTAAGTAAGCTGGAGTCTATACTTCTTAAAGTTTAGACGTCATAATTTAACACAGGCATTAGCATTCCCTTGCTAAATCTTGTCTGAGATCTGCTAGGTTTCATTGATTAAGTTCGCAATATGTCTGACGTCAGTATGCTCGTTATTGTGACCCACTCAAAGTATGTGCGGATGAATCCGTGAGATGTATGAGTAGTAGTGACCAGTGGCGGCTGGTAAAATATAGCCATGGTGTTGCTATAGGTAGTTAGCCCAGCCTTCTTGCTAAACCAGCTCCTTGAAAAATAGCAGGTATACTGCCTTCCTCTGTCCTTAAATCCTGCCTATGTCAGGCTGATCAGGTCCAAGCTCTTTTACTTTTAGCTTTCCCTACAGTGTCCTCCTCTCAAATGGTGTTTCTTTAAGTGATTAAACATCATTTTCCTTCTCCATATTCAGTATCTAGTTTTGTTTACACTCCGTCTCCGTCTAACTCTCTCATTCAAACTTCAATCACTCACTCTGGCGCTCCTGCTGCCCCCTAGTTGTTGGCGGTGTCAACAGCTGCTTTAGGCGCAGTTTGGTGCACCCCGAGTTGCTCCTATCTGTTGTACTGAAGAGGTGCGGACTGCGCATGCACCACTTACAGTTGAGGCCTACATTATTAGCCCCCCAGGAGTTATGGAACATTTTCCTAAAATTCTTCCCAATGTTCCCAACATTGATAAAACTTGATATAATCAAACATTCACCAGTGCTATTTAGTAGCTTATGGAACAGTAATAGTCAATAGTGTACCCTTTCTGAGCTACAACTGACAACAACCTCTTAGAGTAGTTCTTTACTAGGTTGGCACAGGTCTC